TTTTTAGAAAAGATTTTTAGAGTTCAACTAGTTAGTTGAAGGAAGGCACGGGCACGCAGCCACTTAAGTGTTTAGTCCCTTTCTCCTTTTGTGTTTCAATTACACCTAATTGGTGTATGTTTTTCTGGTCCAGATTACCATTGCTGGTATCCTGGGCCTTTATTGTTTTCTTTACTCTCCATTATTTCTTATAGCCTCTGTAATTCTGATTTGAGAAGGGACAGTAGTTTTGTTTTTTGTTGTTTTTGTTTTTTTGTGTTTTTGTTATTGTTGGACCAGAGTTGGATCACCACCACAAATCATAAGTGCCAAAACAATAAGTGCCATATCAAAATTATATACAAAGGACATATATAAATCAAAAAGACAAAAACATGCAAAGAAAATACAACATGCAACAAAAAAACCCCTATATAAATGGGATCCTCCTCTGGTCCTCCAAATATCAAACCCATGATTCAGTTATTTTAGTTCTTTGGTTTTTATCTGTTTTGCCTTTTGTTGTTTTTCACTGTCTGAAAAAAGAGGTTTTTTTTAACCAGACAATGTCCGCCTAGGCTTTTAAAACATGATTCAATCCAAATTACACTCAACACGCGTTTTTAATAACGTTTTTAGCGTATCTTTGGTGTATATTCTAAATTTCATTTAATCCATGGGGTACATTTAATCTCTGTATCCATCTTCTCTCAGCAACAAGTCTCTGTCCCTCTGACCAACTCCATCTCATTTCCAAACCTGATATAAATAAATTAACAACATCTTGATTCCTGAAGTGTCAGTGTGCAACTCTGATATTTTATCCTCTCGACCAATACAATACAGGTGTTGTTTAAGGCGTTTTAAGAGTGCATTTTGGGTTTGTCCAACAAATAGTTTGTGACAAACATCGCACTTGATCACATACACCAATTCTTAGATTTCAGATCCAATTAATGATCAATAGGAAAACCTATATCTGAATGTCTATTAAAAAATGTATTTGATTGGCCGAGAGTGTTTTTCAGAGTTATTAGTTAAAAAAGAGGTGATAAATTTAAAATGTTTGATTGTGTATTTTCAAACATCGGGAGTGAGTAATCTCAGTGCCCCCGACGCTAGTTTAGTTGCTCCATCCAAGTTTTTAGAATGTTTTTAGCAGTTTCTGATGTCCAATGAACCGGGTCATGTGAGTGGACTTTAAAAACACTATCATCCAGCAAATCGAGTGTTCTGTAGGTTTTTCTGATGTGGCTGTTCATTTCCCCAATGAGTGATTGCACTGTCCGCGGGAATTGTTTGGAGAAGTGTATCTGAGGATAGATAATTTGGGCATTTGGAAAACTTTTCCGTGCCATTGCCATCAGTTGTTGCAGCTGTTTTTTCATAGTCTCCATCAGATTCTGTCTCAGACAATTATTTAATCCCACTGACAATATCACTTGTTGGGTCTTACTGCAAGGATTCAGCTTATTTAAGACTCCCCTGAGGTGGTGAATCTGGGCCCCGGGAAAGCTGTCAATCTGGACCGATGAGTAACCGTGCTTGGGGATCCTGGAGAGGTTGGAGTCCCCCAATATCACCACCGGCTCATCCACCTTCAAGACCCACTTTTTAATCTTCTGGGGGGTACTGAGATGGCGGGTCGGTCCCCATCTTTGGCTTTCCGACATCCCATCCAAGCCCAAATTCCCCCCAAGGAGCGGGGAATCGGCACGACAGCCATCCACATCAGTCTGGGGCTCCAACCCTTCCACCATCCCGGTCACTGGCCCAACAGCACCCTCAAGGTCCCCAACCTCCTCAGGGGAGTCCAAGATTCTGCCCGACATTGGAACTATCACATTGCTGAAATAAGTGTCTCCTCCCTCTTCAGCCAAAAGACTCTCCATCAATTCTCCCTGTTCTTCGCCCTCCAAATTGCTCTCATGTATCTCTGCCACTATAATCCTGCTGGTCCGCCTGTTCTGATCGAGTCCCTCCGGGGCACCCCCCCCCAACTAGGTTAGGGTAAGGAGAGGAGCTCCGGGACCCGCTGGAAACTATGGGAAGAACTGGACTGAGGCGTCCCCCCGGAACATTCTCTCCACCCATGTTAGGTTTAGAGGGGGGAGGCCCCGGGGTCGGCCAAGGCACGTCACAGATCCAAGGCCAGAGTTCACCTGAACAGAGGCTGGGCCCAGAGATCGTCTTGGCTTGGGAGTTGGGCCAGATCCAGAGGGCCGGTCAGAACCAGGGGTCCAAGGATGGAGTTGGTTAGGGTTAGAACGTGGGGACTGGGCAGGTGTTAGATTGGAGGAGAAGCTAATGTTGGGCCCCAGGGAGCCACCCAAAAGGCTGTTAGGGAGGGGGACCGTCGCCGACACGGAGGGCGCACGTGGGTTCTTGGTGGTGCAGCAGCTCTGGTGGAGAGCCTCACATGTTGAGGACTCAAAAATCCCCATCTGTCCATCACCTCCCCTTTCGCGCCCCCGGGTCGGCCACTCCCCCTCCCTCCCAGCCAAAGGCCCCGGGGCCCCAACAAACAGGTTGTTAGGGAGTGGCGGTTCCAAATTAGAGGAGGGGCTCCTATTGGGCCCCGGGGAACCACCCAATCGGCTGTCAGGGAGGGGGGACCGTCGCCGACACGGAGGGCGCATGTGGGTTCTTGGTGGTGCAGCAGCTCTGGTGGAGAGCCTCACATGTTGAGGACTCAAAAATCCCCATCTGTCCATCACCTCCCCTTTCGCGCCCCCGGGTCGGCCACTCCCCCCTCCCCTTTCAGCCAAAGGCCCCGGGGCCCCAACACGTGAGCTGTTAAGGAGTAGGGGCCAATCCCCCTCTCCAACAAGGCCCAGACAATCCTCCACCATCTCCTCTCCCAGCGAGGTCCGTGATGTTGTTTTTATCAGTTCTGTGAAGTTTGTTATTGATGTGGTCTTCAGTCGATGCTTGTATCTAATTTTCCCATAAGCAATTGCTTTTTCCATTGCAGTTTGGTCAAAAGCAGGCAGTTTTTCCATTCCACCCGCTATGACTTCATCATAATGGTTTTTTAGAATTAGCATGTTTGTCTGCATCCACTGTTCAGTGTTTAGCTTCACTTTCTGACTGGTTTCCTCGCTGGGAGAGGAGGGTTTGATAAAAGTTGTTAATTTATCCGCTTGTCTGGACATCCCCACCGGGAGCTCACCACTCTGTTGAAACCGTTCTACTACTGCTGCATGGTGAACAGCCTGTAGTATTTTAAAATAAAGCTTCTCTGGTTTTAAAATTAG